GCCAGTTGTTATCAAATCCAAGGAGCGTCACGAGCAGCACCTCCTGACTTTGTTCCTTTGCAAACTAAAGAGCATGAAGGCTTCCTCTGTTGCTTGAAAGACATGTGAAGGTTCAGGTTTTAAACCTCAAATCCTGTTTTTACTTCAGAAGTTGATTGCACAAGCGGACAGTGAATGAGTGTCTCTCCATTTCCCTTGCGGTCAGAGAAGATCCTATTCATACTGCGTTTACAAGCAAACACTTCCTTTGGTAAGCTTCCCATGCAATTCAATTCATGCGCGTGCTTTCAAGCTCTGTCTTCAGGTCTGGGCTAACATCAGAATAAGCGAGCGAGGCAGGCTCTCTGCTCAGCCCATTTTGAAATGGAGAAACACACTATTTTCTGTACATTGCTGCAGTCCTGTTAAGCCACTGACATTACTCATGCACACACATGGGTATCTACTGTACACGCATCCCAGAATCGTACTTGCTTAACCATCAGTCTCATGGTTTTACTTCTTACAGGTACTGGCTGGCAGCCCAGAAACACTGGTTTCTACACATAGGGTTCTCCTCTGTGCATTGCTGTGACCACGTTGTATGGTTGAAATAATCTGTGTTAACAGTAAGAACTTTAAGACCAGAAAATAAATCATTGTTTAGGGAAGATTTGCAATGTGCAGTCAGTACTAGTCTGTACTTGCAGTGAGGAGCCATCAGTTTAAGGCTTTGGCTGTAGCAAAAGAAAGGAAGACCTACCTGTTCTTGGGTATTTTAACATTGTGTGCTCCAGGAAGCCCCTTTCCTAGGTGCATCCTTTTGACTGTATAACACTATCCACTATGGAAATGTTCAGTTAATGGACCACACAGTACCTCAGGATCCATACATGGAGATTTTTACGGAAGATGGAGATCAACATTCACTTGAAGTTACCACATTGCACAGTGAATTCTGAGCTAGGTTGGGCCACAGTACTAGAGCTATTCTTAAGACAAACGTCATGAGGTACTTCTGACCACAGGCAGGTAAGACCTTTGTCATCAGCCACTCATGAGGAAACATGATGTATGTCCAAGAGGACATTGTCTAAAATAAGGTAGTGTGTTGGCCTTGGCTGCTGAGTCATCAGTATCACTTCCTGCAGCCCCTGCTTTTGCTCCGGGTATTTCTCAAGGGAGCACTGACTTAGCCTGGTCTTTTTGATTCTTCTAGAATGAATAAGATCACAGCTCCGGAGCAGTAATGATGAATATGTCCTTGATTCAGAGGAATATACGCTCCTTTTAGCACAAGTGTGCTAAATCTTCCGTGAGATGCCTGCCTGATCAGTTTTCATCTTTACATGTCGTGGCTCCGCTGATTTGAAAACGTCAGACTCTCTAGTTGTAAAATGGAGAGTTCTGCTGCATGGGGAGAATCTGTTCCAATGAGAGCTGCCTTAATGGCTCATGCCTCGGGGTACCACTGAAAGCTGCATCACATGGATCCCTCCTGCCTTGTCTTTGGTGTAATGTTTGATTAGACATTTCTTTAATCGCTTAGAAGACTCCGTGGAACTTCTGATCTCTGGCAGAGCCAGGTTCTCACCTGTGTCAGGGACAGACCCTCCTTAGCCACATTGAGGTTTGCTGCATCTATGGAAAATAAAACCCACCTCACCTCTGATTTTCTTTCCTTACATATTGTTGCAAAATTCCTGACGTCAAACAATGAGACACAAATTACCCTGTGAACTGTTAACATATGCCTGTTTACATATGATATCTTATAGGCAAAACAGATTAAGACTTGAAGGTTTAACTGCTGTTGAGTTTCCACTTCTGTGAATCACACAGATCAGCTTATTCATCACACACACTTATTTTTACTCTTTAACTCTTTCAAGCTGCTTCTATCCAGAGCAGAGTTCATGGGGGACATGGGAGCAGAGAGGTCACAGCTGCATCACAGACCCCAAGCTTTGCAAATGGAAGAGCAAAGAGCTACCAGTAACTACAGCCATCCCAGTGGATCAGAAGTGGTTTATAACTTCCATCAGGTGAGTTGACAGGCACAGAAGTCTTCCCCAGTTGCCAAGGCTAGTCTGTCCTTCCACCTAGTTAAGTGCCAGCTGCAATTCATGCTGATGACCAAGCCTGTAATCTTTTCAGTTTCAGAAGGAAATTACTTGTAAGAACCAACAAGAGAGAACCAGCCAAGAATAACCAACAGGATGGCTCAAATTCCACGTCCAGAGAAAAAACAATAATCACTCATCGAACTAGCATTCTTTGGGTGTTGTGATATAGTTTAAATTCAGAAAAGCCAACATTCTGGGGGGAACATCATTGATTTTAATAAATGCAGACAGCTTTCTCAGCTGAATGTATGCGGTGCATCACTGATTTGGAGGGGACTGGAGTACTCTTGTCAGCAATCTTGACACAAATGCATGAGTATTCATCTTTTTCTGGATAATATGGCTGTGGCCATACTTGAAAAGAGATGTACCTGATGATAAAAGAAAGAAACCTACCTCTACTTAAATACACATGCCTTTTCGCCTCATCTGTGATATGTTATTAAAGCTAAGCAAGTCAGTTCTGCCAGATATCACTCCATTTCTTTCAGCTGAAGACTGGATTTCAGAATGTAGGCACTTGCTGTTCAAGTGCTTTGACTCACTGATGCTGCCTGGCTCAGGCTAGCAAAGAAGAGAAGGAAGATCATGTATATTGAGGCAGGAATGTGAACATTCAGAAATACCTTTCCACTTAGAGTAGCAGTAAGTGAGTGCTTGACTATTTGTTCTCTTCATTTAAAGTGTTGCTTCAGATCTGTTTGTTTTCTCTCTGCATCATCCTAGGCAGGCGGTTCATGTTATTACCTGTGCATTAGCTAACACAGAAACACGTTGAATGCAGCTTCAACTAGGGCCACCAGCACTGCTATAGGTCAAGCCTCTCTAACGTAGGACAACAAGGTGTAACCAAGACAGCAATCTCCTTTACAGCATTACTCACTGGAGCAGGAGGGTGATGACTGTATCAGGAACTGTAGCTATCTAAGGGTATACTGGTATAAACACCACCAGTAGCAAACCAAACCTGCTGCCACCCGTCTGTCAGTACCAATTAATCTGGGTACAATTTAGCATTTATAATGTTATGTGTTATTGGAAGGCACACTCAAGCAGCCAGGCACCTACACAAACTAACTTTGAGGTACGACGCTGTGGCCATGTAAAACGTATGTACCTCTGGAAACCTGGGAGACTGGTTACCACCAGGGATTGAATTAGATCCATGAGGACACTAATGCACCTCTGTCAGAAACTGCAGAGATTGTTTAACCAACCCAAGTTTCTGTTTCTGAGTGTTTTGCTTATAAATGGTTCTGGAGTAAATTTAACCACAAACTTAAAAGTGAAGCAAAACCCATGAACAGTTTAGGACTCCTCCTCCCCTTCTTTTTTTGAACAAATGCTTTATTTAACATCCTCCCTTGTGGTATTTAACTGAACATAGTGACCCATCTTAAATACTGTAGGTTTGAGACCTGAGCCGTCTTAAAAGGGACCTGACTTCTACACATACAAATGTACATACTGCTCAACCACCCCCCAGTCTCCTTCAGCTATTTCAGCTGGGCTTACAGACAGAAGCACTCTTGATCACTGCTGAGCTTTGAAAAGATGGACCTTTGGGGTTAGGCCACATGATGAAAATTACCCAGCTAATTCCGGTGAAGTGTTCCGAACACAAAAGCTCAGTGCAAATAATAATAATGGTTCAGTTCCCTTTTCCAGCTATGAAATCAGCTTGCAGATTAATATTGTTCAGTTACAAAATAACAATTTCAGTTTGAAGTGGTTGGCACTCTCAAGTGCAATTGGGGTTAATAACGGTCTATGAAAGGAAAGCTGTTAGCAAGCAGAAACCCAGAGTGAGACATTTAGCATTTAGGTACCTCAGCCACATTTTACACTCAATGTCAGATTGTAAATTCAGAAAAATGACCAAGGAAAATACCATGTAACCCACTCAGGATCCCAAAGCTCAATGAAACCTGTATTTTCTGCTTCACATATGCCAAGGGGTAATTGCCATCTGACCACCAAGGCAGCTCCTTTTAGCTTTGGCTATTTCTAATTCATAGATGTAGTGCCTTATCTGCTAGATCTGTTCAGATCAATTGAGGTAATAAATATGGAATGTCACCAAGTTTAAACCCTTTTTTGGATCTGTGCCCAAATAGATATCTGGAGCTTACACAAAATGATATTAACTGCTTTTCAGTTGAAGGCATATGGTTACAATATATTTGTATTATCTACAAATTAGTTGTTAGAATACGTTTGTAAATGATTGTAGTCTCCTAACCTACAGTATTAAGGTAAAGCCCTCTGGGACTTCCAAATGCAAACAGCTTCTGAATCTCAAAAGAAAAGCCTAAGTTAGGGCAGACTGTTCAATAACTGTAAGAACCAGGCCAAGATCCTCAAAGCTGAGTGGTAATTTTGTGTGTCCACATGGAAGGTAAAGATGTGCAGCACTCCCTGCAAATTAACCTCTGTTTAGGTTCCTTAAGGTTCGTATTAAAACACAGATGTGCTCCCAAGCAGGGTAAATCCTTGGTCAGAATGCCCTGAGTATTCCCAGCAGTTACAGAGGCAGTAACAGAATGATCTGCAATACTGAGCAAAGCACTCGCTATTACATGCCTGCAGAGTCTGCATCTCTAATATGCTGGAAAAATTAGCACACTGACAAGGAAGGTTACATGCTGCAAAACATGATTTATTTATTGAATGCAAGCTTTTAGAATTTCAGGAAGGTTAAAAATACACCAAACAAGTTGAACTGGAATTTCTCACATTCGGCAGTTTAAAAAATGCTCTCAGTTACAGCTGAGACCTTCAACTTTGCCTATAAATGAAACACTTTCAATAACAGCCAGTTACACAACCTACTTACAATCAGCAGCTTATCTCACAAGACCTCTAATAAGAAATTTTCTTTGTGGCAGCAACATATCAAAGTGTCTTATCCAGTGTTGACCAGCTTTGTTTATTCTGACTGTCGATCGCTCTTTTAAGTGCTTCATCCGGCATAAGATCTGATCCTTTTACATCAGAATGGCTACAGCCAATTTTAGGACATCTGTTAACGAGAAAAGAGAGACTTCATTAAACCAGAAGAATTGTATTCGTCAGATATAGGGGTTTACATAACATCTGCTGGTTTATTGTGTTTATCTGGGTTTTTCTCCGAGTTCCTCATTACCTCGTTTCCTCTTTGCCAGCTTCTCTGCAGGGAAAAATAAATCCATTTATCTAAAGTGGTGGGAATCAACAGCTGAAGGAAGGAAAGAACACAGCGAGAGACAGAGCCTCTCACCTGTGGATCATTCTCTTGCTTTATGTACACAAGCTGCCTGCATCAGTAATGGCACTAGTATTGCACGGACATCTTTCTGTGTTGCTTTCTCTCTTTGCCAGGTAACTACCTCATATCTTAATAATCTGCGGCGGAAAAGTATAACCTCCACTGACATATATATAGAATCATAGAATGGTTTGCGTTGGAAAGGACCTTAAGATCGTCTAGTTCCAACCCCCCTGCCATGGAAATTAATTTCTAGGAAAACAGATAGAATGAGACTTGCAAAGGCAGACTGGTGAAATCAGTGCACTCATCTAGTCGGTGTAAAAATTTCCCTGGCTTTCTCTGAACTGAGAAAGCACAGAAAGGAGAGCTGGGGTCAAATTAACAGCCTTTAAATGATAATCAAATACAAAATGTCTTACAACTATTTGAAACAGCCAGATAAAGACAGCAGAGTGAGAGATATTCAGGGACCAAAGGTCATTTTCCTTTGGCAGTGGCCCAAACATGCACAGATGGTACCTGTAGTCAGAAAGAACACTTTTTCTGAATTTTCCTCTATTGGGAGTAACATTTTTCTAAGGTGCTGAACTTATTTACACTCACTACTCATAGCTTTTACTCCAGATTTGTCCACAACTTAGTGTGTTTGTCATGGATAAGTCACTTAATTGCTCTGTGCCTCGGTTTTCCCATTTATCACCTTATAAGAGCAATAGCTTGCCAGATTAATGAATAACAAGTGCTCAGAAAGCTTCCCACATTTCCTGTAAGCATAAAGCATTAGTATGTCCTTCCAGGCAGTGGAAAACAGTGAGCAAATGGAGACACGTAAGAGTTGCCTGAAGGAATCTATGTCCAGTCTATCAGCACAAAACCGGTGCCTGCGTATACGTCAGAGCTGACACTGAGCTGCTGCACTGCCAAGTGCACCGAAGGGATCCCATGGCTTCAAACAGGAAAGTACGTGTGAGGAAACAGCCACTCCTGTAGCTGCAGAGTGAGCAGCAGCCTTGATTTCAGAGTCAGGATGGAGAGGATCCCCCCAACCATGTCTCTGCTCTACCAGGGCACCTGATTCCACTTGGATATTGCTGCTGAGAACGTCGTCAAGTGGCAACACCCCAGAATGGGGTACTCAAATGGGGAACTTGTTGCATCAGCTGGCCTGTCTTCCTACCACAGTAGACTATGGTTTATCAAAACTGACTGCATTTTCATGAGAAAGGCTAAAATTACAGCAGGTCAGTGAGACTGGGCAGAAAAAACCAAGTAATCTTTCTTAATTTAGTAACAGAGAAGCTGAGTTATTGCTCTATGCGTGCTTTGCTAGCACACTGGAATAACTGGTGTAATAATGGTGAGGTTACAAGGCAAAAGCTTGAAATTAAGAACTTCTAGTATTCAGAATGCATAAACAACTTCAGTTTGGGTATAAGGTAGCTTTTAAAGCCAGGTGTTGTTCAGCTTACATGTTTTTTCTTTTACTCTAGAGTTTCTCTAAGTCTTAAAAGGTAAGATAAAATTCAACCACGTGGCCTATAGTTTTTAAGCAGTGCTGAAACTTTCGATCCACTACAACAATCTCCACTACCATGACATTTTCTTGATGGATTTAACAACACAGGGAAATAGTTAGATATGAACATCCTAAACTCTGTTCTGTATTGCACAGCTATTTTTGTCATATCTTTGGGCTGTTGAGAACATATTTCCTAGCCTGTCCCTCTCCGTCAGAACACTCACTTTCTTCTCTCCAGCTTATGAGCTATTTCCCAACTCCCATTCATTTTTCCAGCCAAGTTTCTGTCCATCCATGTTTCTGGTTTTGTCATTCCGAGGATGTTGCACCCACTTCACTTTTTCTCCCTAGACCTCATAACACAGACAATGTACTTCCATCTTGTTCTTCAAGCTGTCTTGACACTAAGATAGTGGTGAAACATCCCAGCTGATGCTTGATTTCATAACTGTGCTTTCCTGTAGCCAGGCAGAAGCATGGAATAAAAAGTTCTGCTCCACCTTTGTATCCCCCATGGCAGAGTATGTGGAGTCTGACAGGTACACAAGAGCAACAGATGGAGGAAGTAAGCCGCCTGTGGCATTATCTTTGGGGAAATCAGGTTGCTAGTTTCTGACAGACCTTCCTGAGCATGTGTAAACTGCATGTTCATTAAAAAGGCCAGAAGTGGTAAGTTTCCATGAGGTCATCAACCCCAAAGCGTGAGGCTCTCGCACATGCGGTGCAAAAACAAATGCAAAATTACTGATGAAATGCTGGGTCCTCTAAACTTGCTCTAAAAAGTGTTTAAGTCCCTTTTAATTTCTATTTTTTTTTTAATAAAATCTATCCTAAATCTGAAACTTACTCGGGAGAATTTAAAAAATTCAACTGTTACATCTTTTCACTCAACAAAAATATGTCCTGAGTGGGAAGTGGCAGCCTGCTTTGATGATATAAAGTAAGAAATACTTAATTGCATCACAGCAGAAACTGCAAAATCCTATCTGATCAGTCTTAAAGCTCTGTCTGGTCATCAATAAAAAGTTGTATTTTGATATTTCTTACTTTAACACTCATTTGATTGTTTTAATATTCCTCAGCTTTACTGGAATATAACTACAAGAGGAGGTGCACAGAGGAGACTTATTTTTCATTAACTTCAGGGCTTGCTAAATAAGCAGTGGAAACAAAATGAGCAACTACATTTCAGGAAGCTGAAGTTTCTCTTTGTTGTTCATGGCTCTGCAGAATCTCTTTACTTTTGTTGTGCAGGTACTACGAGTGGCTGTAACTTCCTCACACACTTCCTGAATATTTCCTTACACATTGTTTTCATTAAGAAGAAAAGCTTCTTCACGTGTACAGTGCTAATGAGAAGACTGTGACTTGGGCAGACGCTGAGGTATTACTTCCTGCAGCCTTGCCAATCCAAATACATTTCCTAGAACAAGTGGAGTAAAATTCCACTTACACAGCAAAGCAAATTTCCACACATTCCTGTTCGCTTACCGGACTTTCTTCTTTTGCTGCTTTCGAGTCTGGATAAACTTTAGAATGGCATCTTCTTCATAAGTGTGTCCACAGATCTTGTTTCGAACCGGCCTCTTCATTTCCATCTGTAATCGATAAACGTTGATTTAAAGGAACTGATAATGCCCATGAAAATGCTTCCTATGAGATTTTATGTAAACCAGCAGGAAGCGTGTTTGCCATTCATACACAGCGTTCCACTCAAATTACAGGGTCAGGTCCCGCATGGTTGACTGCATTCCTACTTACACAGGGCTTTTTCCCAGGCAATGTTGCTCTTCTCTTATGGTGCTTGTAATTTATACTGCCTGATTTTTAACAAGTGTTGCAGATTTGTAATAAACCATCAATGAAGAATATGAAATAACTATTTCCCATTGATTATACAGTGATAGCATACCTGTGTAATGGGACAAATAAAGTTCATCTGACTCTGAGTCACAGCTATATCTTCATCGATTTGTTCAATGGCCTCTTCACCATTACCTGATTTATGGCAAACTATAATGGGAAACAAGACAATTTTCACTTAATATTTAATACAGATAGCCGAGACTTAAAACAAGCAAACAAAATCCAGCATTTGCCAAGCATTATCTCACAGTGATATATCTAAAATGCCACAACATATTTCTGCACTACTCCCTGAACAAGATACTGCAGAAAGTACTGTGCTACAGTCTCTGTTAGAAACTGTGGAGTTTTAAATGGTAACCACCTTTTTGTGTGTGTGTCTGTGTGTTGCTATTTATAGGCAATGCTAGAAAGAAGTCCTGGGAAAGAAAGCAAGCTGGCCTGAATATATCAAAACCCTCAGTATTCTCTGTTGAAGTTCACCAAAAACCAGTAACATGCAGATGAGTCCCCAAAATCTGACAGCGGGAGGAGGTGGAGCTTTTGCACATTTGCCAGTCCTACCCTCAACATCAGTTTGTGTCTGAATGTCGTAAATGGGCTTGATATACAGCCTCTATACAGAGTACATACTTTAAAAGGAATTTGTACTATTTATCATAATGCATCATTTGTAAAGTGATGCTGCTGTATTTTAACAAGACTATAATTAGTGAAAACAAAAGCAAAGAAAGCGTTACTTGAGAGGGACAATAGAACTGTTACGAAATACTGAAATCTCCCAGAAAACCTGATGGTCCAATGCCAGAGAATGAGGGGCAGACAAGAAGAAATCCACCTTGAGCTACAGAAGATGCAGCTCCCCACCTTTACCAGAAGAAGAAGACAAGATGTAAGCAGCTCTGCACCCCCAGGGCTCCATGCAGAAACTAGCCAGAGTCAAAAGCTGAGACACAGGAGCAGCTAAGGAGAAGTCTAACCTTAATGAACGTATACATGTTGATTCATCTTTTCCTAACTTTGCCCTGTTATTGTGAATCTAGGCTTTTATTTGAATGCATTTGTTTATCTTCAAATCTTATCTGGTAATAATAGCAAACTTAACACCTGCCATAACTTTCCATTCCTTTGGGGTAGTTCTGCAATGTTTTTGCAGCAGTGCCCTGGGGTGCAGTCCTCAAGGTGTCCCAAGCTGAAGAGAACATTTTTCTCTCTAGTTGCACAAGCTAGTCTGCAATGTAGCAACACAGGGTTCAGAGAAGATGAACTTTTCAGTGGCCTGTGTCACCAAGGAGGCAGTGAGAAACACAAGTGGACACAGAGTTTAGAGCTACTTCATGACTGGCCACATGCAAAGTCTCAGCCGTGGTTCCCTTTGCTGCTATTGCACCCTATCAGCCGATCTTTGCACCTTTGCATCCCTGGTATTCGGTCTTCCACATCTGTTAAGGACCAGTGTTTCCTAACTTAGGGTCAGTCCTGCATACCTCTATAATACAATCACCTTCCGGATGATAACAGCAGACATCACTCTTGGAGCAATGACAACCTCTCACACCCAGTCTAGACTGAGCACACTGCCATGTAAGCCAGCACAGCTCTGGTTGAGGTGCTCTCGGCATCAGTATTGCAGCTATTGCTCCACCACAGCATCTCTTGGGGTGCCGGTTTTATCTGTATATTTCTCCTTCCTTCTTAACAGAGCTTGTCCTTCTCTCCATTCCAATATACCAAGAGTTTTCCAAGCATTCAGGAATGTTTCTGACCCCCAGGTAGTCCTGCAATACTTAGGCAAGCATCAATGAGGGTGTGGATGAAGGGGGAAAAGGAGATTAAATGTCCAATGTCAATAATAACTTTAAGGCTTCAGTCTCCATTAAATATTAACATACCTTTATCAGGTACTGACCCCCTAATAAAAGTAAACACTTGCAAATCAGAAGGAAAAAGTGGGCACAATTTAACTGTAAATACCGAAACTGCAATGGTATAAACATCAGAGAGAAACTTGAATGAGTTACCAGTTTTCAGAAAAGAAAACCTGTCATGTATTATTCTTACATTACTCATATATAAGGTTTATTCTACCACGAACACACAGTATGTTGAAGAAAATACAAGTGGAGAGTAGGGGGGAAGTGCTGGGGGATTTTTTTTAATGAAGCTTTTGAAATACAATGGGCGAAATCCCACCGAGACAGCAAGGCTAAACAAGATTGCAAATCTGGCATGGGCTGCTTTATTTAAATACCACACTGATTCTTCTTCCAACAAAGAACAAGAGATTCAGAACCCTTAAATTAACGTATCTGCCAATTTGGACAAATATAGCAGCTCTCATCTTTCCTGCCGAAAACATTTTTTGATGTTCTACCTTCAACTCATGAACTTGGTGTGTAGTTCCAGTGTACCAGGGTATCAGATCAGTTGACGAAGTTAGAAGGCAGCAGTACAAGGCAGATCTAGGACAGGTGACTGTTTACAAAGGATGATTTTATTTTTCTATCAATACAAGGATGCCAAGGAAGGTGGGTTAAGTTTTAGAATGTGGTTCTTCTGCCTGTGACTTCTAAAGCACAGGCATCTAAGCAGCCTCTTCTGGAAATGTGTTCAAAGCCAGGCTGGATGGGCCTTTGAGCAACGCTGCCTACGGGAAGATGTCCTTGCTCATGGCAGGGGGTTGGAACTGGATGATCTTCAAGCGTCCTTCCAACCCAAACTGTTCTGTGATTCTATGATTCTTGGCATGCGATTCTGCCCTAAAAGCTCTGGTTATTTCACATCCATTACACTTAAATGTGCTTTCAAAAAGAATGCCTTTTGCTTAGAAAATATCGGAAGTATTGAAGGAGTGCTCACCTCGCACAGCACCTTCTGACTTTGTGAAGGAGTCACCACTTCGCTCATCACTTCTGTGTGTGCTTACTTAGGTATTAACACAAGAATTTAGGAGACTATGTTGAAGCATCCAACTTTGAAAATATGAGCTCAAGCTCAGGTACTGGTGCTTGAGTCTCCCCTGAAGGGCTCTAAATTATGTGAGCTAAATCACAGGCTGGGTTTACCTCTTTCTTGTACTGGCTTTGGAGGTGACTTAGATGCCTCATATTTAATGGTTGAAATTCCATGAGTTGAGATCCTTGTAGGTGGGATATATTAATCTTCCTGGATTCAAATCATCCTCATGCTGCAAGCTTATCTTAAACGCTTCAGGTTGCACTTCATTTGCAATGATTTTGTATACAGTCTACCCGAGCAGGGCCCTGATTTCAAGAGGTTATCACAGCAAAAATGAATAATTATTTAAAATATTTCCTTTTCATAAACAGCTAATATTTTAAATAATAAATATGTAAGACTGGGATGATGCAAGTGATACCTCAAACGTGTCAATAGCAAATTAGCATAAATCAGATAAACCACCCACAGATTTGTTGTTATTGCTTGATGATCTAGACTACAGGAGGAGAGAGGAAAATAAGTTTTTTCTATTACAGTATATTTTGCAGACATTATGCAAGACACACATGCCTCCTGAACTGGTCAGTAACATGCTCTAAACTGTAGATCTAAGCCTGTAAACTCATACTGGAAGTTCCTTTTATTAAGGTCAAAGGGATTTTTTTACCACATTAAATATATAAAAGTTTCGAGGATCTAAATTGCAAGTCTGACTATTCTATAGAAAGAAGAAATAAAACCACCAGGTCACACATATTTAAGCTAAGTCAGGTTACATTTTTGTAAAATTGAGTTTTCCTTGCAAATTAAAACCAGATGCAGAAAACACTAAGTTATTGTTCCTGAAATTCAGATGTTGCCTTAAGTAACAGAAGTACATGTGTCTATTTTGGTAGTCTCAGAGATTACATTTTAAGAGCCTTAACAGTTTCTAGTTTTCCATTCCAGCCAATTGAAACCTGTTATGAGTATTAGTAACACATTTTCTATCTGGCTATCTCAGCAGTGATGTTTACAGCTGATTAGTACCCACTGTTGTAATAAAACTGCATTCTCATAAAGGTATCTATTTTTGGTAACACATTATAATGAATTTTGCAACTGCCAACTGTTTTTTTACTCATACAATTTTAATTAAAAGCTGGTAGTACTTTATATCTCTATCACTTTCATCTCTTGATAAAAATGTGACTAATATGCCTTAGCTCAGTTTTTACCTACTCTGCTGAGAAAGACTGAGAACTTTTAAGCCAACTTTTAAAAATAAGAAAACCACAGTGTGGAGACATTAACTGCTATATTGTGACTTAAGTTAACCAGGGACAGTTTACATATTAATAAAGCATTACAGGAAAGATCCTTTCCATTTTCATTGTCACTTATATGACAGACAGACTGCTGTCTGCTCACTGTGTCCAGTGCCAACAATGTCCTCTACCCAATCCCTGTTTCTCTAACCTGGCCCCAAGTGAGTACATGTTGCAATGTAAACTTAATTGACTTCTTTTGTGTTGCGCTGTTCTGCCTTCTTACCTGCCATCACTCAGACACTAATCCCGGAAATCAAAGGGTAATATTAAGCATGGAGGATTTAGTCTTTGTAAGCCTGAGCCACTAGACAGACAAGGTCTTGGCTCCCAAGAGGGTCTATTGTAGTGCTGACTCTATAGAAATAACAGAAACTCATCCAGGCTGGGAAAAAACCTATCTCTGGGAGCTCCAAGAAAAACATGAATGTTATGAGGGCAAGTCAAATGCCAAGTGTGGCTGCCAGCAGGACACAGAAAATAATGAAAGGTGGGGGAGGCGAAGGACATCATCACATCCAAGAGCTGTATGGTAAAAGTGAGGAGTCTGAGGCACTGCTAGCATGGGGTGAGGAAAGTCCCAGGACAAGTCTAAAGGAGGGAATGAGCCCAAATGCTGCTTTCCACAAAACACATTGCTGAGACCACCATGGGCGATGCTTAAGAGTGTGTCAGCAAGCCCTGAATTTGGGTTCGAGTCCAGATCCAGAAAAGCAGACTAGAACAACCAGCCAGTGTCCTGCCCCCAGGATGGTTCCACGGTAAATGCTATAGGAGGAGTGAAAGAAGAGGGGAAGCACAGAGTAATACCTTCCTGGCAGACTTTCCCAGTCTCTAGCAATTTGTGGCCAAGGACTTCCTGAG